TGGTAGATGTTTTTTCCTGCTCCCGTGATACACAGCTCGCTCTCGCTATTACTCCCTCACAGCCTTTTCACTGGTTAATCCTGGTTCTGGAAGGGGGTCACAATGTTGGGGTGGGCTCCTTCCAGGCCAGAGGGAGGTTAGAGACAGGCGCCCAGAATGCCAACTGTGCTGCATGCTCTTCTTTGCTTCTGTCCCTGTGTTTTGGGTGCTTTTTGCCGGATGTGAAAAGCTGGGTGGCAGTCTCTGGTGGCTGCACTAGCTGTGACATTAGTTGAACACTGTGACACACAACATGGCTGGGAGGTGAATTGTAGCACCGCAGAGTCACAGCGCTTGTCACCGACGTGAGCTGGCAACTGTGAAAGGGCTTTGTTCCCTTCTAGAAGATCCTGTAAGGCTAAAACAAATGGGAATGGCCAGCAGGAAAGCCAGGTCACTACCTGAAAAGGAGTTACTATAAACGGTCGGTGACTTACTGTCCTTGCAAAGCTAGACCAGGTGTCTTCTATGGTCATGGGATGTAGGTAAGGTAGGGATCTATGGCCCCCTACTTCTGAGGGCTGGCCATCTGGCTGTGATGCAGATCCTGCTTTGATACAGATCCTGTGTAGGGCAACTCGTGAGATTAGTGCAATTCTAGATTCTGTTTCCCTTTCCTACATTTTCTTTGTGGCACCCATGCACTTTTTTCATGTGAGAAAATCACCCTCTCCCTCCCTCTAAAATGTCATTCAATGCATAGTACAAATAAATTTTGTCCACATTGAAAATAAGCAAAGGAATACACAATATTTCTAGAGGAAGTAGTAAAAGGCATAGGAAGGAGCTGTCCTAATTGCAGCTGGCTGGCCTTGCTCGTTTACACGTCTATATGAAGCACTGCTTTTTCTGGACCATATCTAATTTTTCAGTTCTCTGTTTAAAAGAAGGAAATCTTCATACTTGTTCTTTTCCCCACTATGCAAAGCCTTTAAAGATGTATAATTGTTTCTGCATGTTTGCAAGCAAAGCCATGCGCAGTGTATCTGGCCACCAGACAATGTGTGAACTGAAATTTTTGATAAGCAGAGGATACATTTTTCTGGGGTGCTGTATTTCCAGCAACTGCAGCTCCTTAAGAATGGTGGAGCTGCGGGTGCTCAGCTGCTGCTTTTGGCCCCTTTAGAAACACTAGCAGCTGACAACATTTATGTCAGACCTCTTGCACATTCATGTTCGCAGCAGATGACCACTATAAAGTCGTGTTTTTTGCAGCTGTTCATGTTCCTATCTGCTGTAGCAAATTAGAGGTTTGGAGCAATTCCAGTATTTGGTGGAAGGGAAGTACTGAGTTTTGTCTAGTGTTACAAGATGTCTCTGGCTCTGTAAAATTTGTCCAGTTGCCAGAACAGTGTAGTAATTTTTTGCTATAGATACATAATATAAGAAATCAAATTGAGCTTAATTACTTGATAGTCCAGTAATATGTATGATTCTGATCCATGGAATGTAAATTGCAGGTAAAAATATAAAATGAAGAATGGAAGGGAGAAGTTATTCTCAAATGTAATTTAATACTCAAGTTGTAGTCCTTTAAATGTAAGCACAATAAAGCAACAGTAGACTTTTCAAAATCTAGCACCCAAAAATTGTACAAAATTATAGCCTTATAGTGGTAGCAGCAAAATAATTGTTATGTATAAATAGGAACAAAGGATTTGCAGCAATGTTGTAGAGTAGTTAAAGCATACTGGCTTTAGGCTTGCTTTAGATTTTATATTCTCTTTTTCCATTGGAAGACTGTGAGGATTTTTTGTCTTTTTTATGCTGGTTTTGTTACTTCACATAACCAACTCTCTTGAAATCATAGAATCATAGAATCATTAAGGTTGGAAAAGACCTCAAGGATCATCAAGTCCAACCCAACACCACCTAACTCACTAAACCATGTCCCTAAACACCACATCTACATGTTTCTTGAACACCTCCAGGGATGGTGACTCAACCACCTCCCTGGGTAGCCTGTTCCAATGTCAGACCACTCTATCCAAAAAGTAAATAATCTGAGAAACTTGCTCCTTTCTTAAATCTGTGTCACTGGAATATTTATTATACTGTAAAATGATTTTGAATTTTGATGCTTTAATGTCATATTATGATGCCCACCTAAGCATTGTAAATGGTATGTGCCATAATGATGTTGCACTCTGTCTTTTGACACCATCAAAATCTTGGTGGCCCGACATACTCATCTGTATATTGCAACATGACTGGACCTTTGCTGTGGGCTTACATAGACCATGGTTAATAGCTAATTGTTCAGTCCTTGACTTGAGAAATGTTGTGGTGTGTGATGGGTTTACCCTTGGCTGGGAGCCAACCCTACACAACCGCTCTCTCACTACCCCCCTCCCAGGGATGGGAGAGAGAATGAAAGGGGTAAAGATGCAAGACTCATGGCTTGAGATAAGAACAATTTAATAACTGAACTACAATAATATTGGAATTAATAATAATGATGAAAATAATAGTAATATATATACAAATACACAAATGAGTGATACACAGTGATACTGCTCACTACCTGATGACCAAGGCTCAGCCTGTTCCTGTCTAATGATCCCAGAGCAGGGAGAGTCCCGAAACTGCAATACTGGAACAGAGATAACAGCCTGAGCGTCCCAGACCGAGAGCTAACCAAGGGAGGGAGACGATCTGGCAAGAGGGACCACCCTGAGAGAGTCGACCTGGAAAGAGAGCTGACCTGGAGCAAGAAGGGATCTGGAACCAAAAAGGGACGAGCTTCCAGAGGGCCCTCACCTATATACTGGGCATGATGTATATATTATGGAATAGACTATTGGCCACTTTGGGTCTCAGTCCCAAACCTAAGATCAAATCCTACGCCTAGTAATTGGGCTGTGTTCCCGCTGCTTCCCCTGCAGGCACAGGCACAGCAGAGAAGCTGAAGAGACCTTGAATGTCCTGGCAACAACTATAAACATCACTGTTATCAGCCGCCTTCTCAGCACAAATCCAGAACACAGCGTCTTATTAGCTTTCATGAAGGAAGTTAACTCTGTCTCAGCTGAACCCAGAACATATAGGGAATATGAAGAAATGACAATAGCAGCTTTAGGTCATTAATTTTTTAAATATCAAATGGGCTTCCAACAGCAGCAGTTAATGCCCATTCTAAATCTTCATTTTATTATATTAAAAAAATATTTATTTACACTTCTATTTGGCTGATGTAAAATGCAGTTACTTTGATTTAATATGTTTTACCAACACATAAACCAGGTGAAAGTTCTTCTTATCTTCTCAAACTGAATAGTGGACTGTAAAGTCGGCGTGTGATTCAGAACTGCGACACATTCGATTTCAATACAACCCTCTCAGAAAACACTGATCTGAAAAGGTTTCTCTGCTGTCTTCTATCTACAGGTTAATTACAAAGTCAGAAGGTTGCTACTTATTTGAGGAAAATACAGTTTTAATTTAAGTTAATATGATCTTTCTTGTTTATGTTCACTATGTATGTTATGCACACTGGAATTTACTCTGGGGAAGGAGAGAGGGCTCAAGAATCATAAATTGGGGTGACCTTTCTTTCCAGTAGCTGCAGCTGTCCTCTCTATGGTGAGAAACACGATGAAGATATATTAGTGACCTTGCATCTAAGCAGGTATAGAGAGGCCTATGGCCAGGATTCTCAAATTTGAGAGGTTAAAATTAGGTCCTTTAATCCATATTGAGGTGCCTAAGTAGGTAGCTCAGCTTACCTTTTCCTCCTACTAAGAGAAGGTGAAAAGCACATTTGAAAATCAAATAGTAGTACTTGTGTACCTAAAGATATGTGTAGATACTTAATGTTGGGCTCCAGAGTTTAAAAAATTTTGCTTTTTATGTTTTAAAATATCATGAGTGCACTCTCAAATGACTCAAGAGTGTGGTTTGATGATCCAGCATTACCTGCTGTTACAGCATACTTAGGAGAAGATCCCCACAAATCTGTCCTCACCTCTTGGTGTTCATATACTGCTGTGTCTAGTTTCCATCAGTTTGTGTCCTCCTCTTGATGACTATGGCAAGTATATTTGTTAACACAAACACTGATGTAGACAATAAGTTCTGGTGCAAAACGTATTTCATGCTGAAATATGATGAATTTGTAAAATGGCTGTGGTAGGAGAGGAACAGAGCAGTAGCTGAGGCAAAGAAGTATCAGTGAGGCAGTCAGATAAGCTAATGAGGACACATCTGCATTTTCTTTTCTGAGGACAAGGTCGGGGAGAGGTGCCTTTTCAAGATGTAGTTCTCCTCATTATCTTGCTCTGGTTTTGATTGTTAACAAAAATTAGTTTTTGTGTTTTCCCCGAGTCAAGTCTGTTTGTTGCCCATGACCGTAACTGCTGAGTAAAGAGCTTTTTAAAGACATGAGGCATTTTCATTCTGTTTCAGTGATATCTAATCCTCATACTATGTGTCAACCTTCCTCTCCTTTTATCCTCTCTACTGTTAATATGACTTCATCATGGTAATCTGTTGTCTCTTTTTAATATCATGCTCTATTGAAAGTTCCCAACGTCAGCCATTATCTTGTCGCATTTCTCTCATTCATCTCAAAGAAGTAAAGGTAGGCTGTTGTTGTTGTTGTTATTAGACACCAAATAGCACCAATTCATATATGTACTAGGTATTAATTTATATTAGAAGTCTGATTGACAGTAGAAAAAGAGCTGTTCTATTTTCTGTTTTGCATTACACCATTATTACTGGTCACTGCATCAGACAAAGTTAAGCAGATCTGGTCTACTGCAGTGGTGTAAAAGATGTTGCCCTTCTCTGGAGATTTTCAAAAAGCTTTTCCAGTTTTTGCTAATTGTGTGTGGTCTGGTTTCAATATGCAAAATGATTGCACAATCTTCTTTCTAACCTCTGTAGATACCATTGGAAGGCTGAGTTTTGTCACCTGGAAGGCAGAAATTTAGGATCACTATTTTCTTTTCTTTTTTCAGGTATCCAGCTGCCAAAGGAAGATGAGATTTCAATACCTGTGACGTCAAGCTCCCCAGTTAAGGACACTGGGGAGAATACTGATCTTGCCATTGAACAGGAAGAGAAGATGAAAGAAGAACCTTTAACCATCTCAGAACTGGTATACAATCCTAGTGCCAGCTTGTTGCCCACCCCTGTTGATGATGAGATTGACATGCTCTTTGATTCCTGTCCAAGAGTAGAGAATGAGAAAGATGATACAGATTCATTTGAGGAACTGGAAGCAGATGAAAATGCATTTTTGATTGCAGAAGAGGAAGAACTGAAAGAAGCTCGGAAAGCGCTTAGGTGGAGCTATGACTTTCTAATGGGCAACATAGAGGTGAATGCCTTTGTGAAGAGTTTCTCCAGACTTCTCCTTGTAGGCCTTGGACTGTTGTTGTTTGTGTTTCCTCTTCTCCTTGTTCTCTTGGAGTCGGACCTTCAAATCTCTTTTCTCCATGAAATCCGTCAGACACCGGAGTTTCAGCAGTTTCATATTGAATATTACTGCCCTCTTAGGCAATGGGTAGCTTGCAAAATAAACTTCATTCGTGACGTGCTGGGCAGCTTTTAAATTTTAAATAAATACGATACAACTAAGGGCTATATTCAAAATTTCAGTTACTGCCAGCTTTCCATACTGCCCATCAGTTGGTAGCTGTTTTCATATCCAGTTCATTACAGATTCTCTGGGTTCTTAAGTTTTCTTTGCATGCTCTAATTGCTTCTTTAGTTACAGACTTACACAGTCCCTTTCAATAACCAAAAGAAGCTTTATTTTAATTGTATTTCAGACTCCCTGCTCATCTATTACATCATGTAAGATGAGGTCATAATAAGTTTCATTGTCTGTAACTTTTTAATTCATGACAATAAATCCGATGAAATGGAAAGGAAACTTTTTTGAATATACTCCTTAGTGCAGCAATCTCTTCTAACCAATGCCTATACAAGCAATGTTTGTGCTGGGTTTTTGTTTTTGGTTTCTTTTCCTGTTTGTTTGGTTTTTTATATTTTTATGTGTTTAAAATATTTTGGTAAATTTTTAGCAAAAGACAACTTCTGGTGTTATTAAATGTACAAATTGGTAAGAATAATGCACAAGGACATGTAGGGTGTTTTTAGTGTTTTAGCAGTGATTTGTTTTTAAACTATGGGCTGGAGAATGAATGAGTTTAATCTAGATCTGTACAGAGGAACTGTGTTTTGGGAAATAGAGAAAGTTCATTCAAGTTCAGTAGGGGCTGCCTGGGGGAGGTGAAAGGACACCAAGTATGCAGGAGAATTTCTGAAAGGCACATTTGTAAAGCTTGGGGAAGGGAGAAGAACTGAAAGTAAGGATCCTTCCTCTTACCTGTAGAATCATAGAATGGCTACGGTTGGAAA